TTCACTAAGTATCTGAATATTTAATAACATTTTCAAAAATACGTTGACTGTTCTTTACAGAAGGCAGCTAACAGCAGATAGCAGGGAGCCAAACTGCTAGTGAGCAAAAGCACTTTCAGTGAACATTTCAAAGTATTAAAAATAGTTTGCAATCTAAAATGTAGCCCTAATAAGATTCCAGAAAACAAACGAGAAGCTCTGGTAAGTTTACAGCTGTTGAATGCTGCCAAGCAATGATAGCTGTTAACATTTTCATGGTTTTTAAAAAAATTGCTGCACTAATAATGCTAATGAAGTTAGAATGACAATTATTTCACCCTACCATTAGCAACAGGGCACATGAGAGGGGAGGAGCAATGAAAGACTCACTTGGGGATGATCCAGGCCCTCCCCTTTTTCCAGATGTATACCTTCAGGGAACTCCCTCCCCACTCAAGTGCATGGAGCAGGAGGCACGGCAGGCTCCAGAGACAACAGGGTCTTATTTAGCCACAGCCAAGTGTAGCATTAGCAAGGCAGGGGGCGAGGCACCTTCAGAGCCCTGAGACATTGGGGTTGACAATGGGTATTTATAACCATTAGAACTCTGAGTGTTCTCTTCTGTTTGCTGATTGGTTATTTGTCCCCGGTCTCCTTCCACCTGGCTCTTCTCCGGTCTCCCTGTTGCCAGCCTGCCTCCATCCCTCTTTCCATGCTCTCAGCCCCTCTTAACATTTTGCTTCACCACAACTGCTGTTCCCATTTTACCACAAATAAAAGAGAATATGATATTAACAAGAGGTGTAACCACTATAATGGCCTACATTAGGCAAGTTAAAAGCCAGAGCTTTTCCTTTTTGGCTACAATGCCCATCTCATTCTCTACTTTGCACCTACACCTAATTTCCTCCTCCCCCAAACTGAAAAAATGGCTATAGGGTTTTGTTGTTGTTGCTGTTGCTTTAAATTAGAAAAAAAATACTTGACCCCATTTTAAGTGACTTCTGACAATTGTTCTAACAGAACTGTTCTTTTTTATATCCTGTCCTTGCAGGGTTCATATTTCTATTATTCCTCCAATTTTATCTGGCACCACTTTCATGCTTGTGACACTCTTAGCAGGAGTCAATCAAAATCCTGAGATTACAGAGATTACTCTGAAGGCCTGGGAAACTTTGAAAAGACCTTACCTTCAGGCCAAAAGCCCTAGATTAAGTAAATGAGGTGTTCATCATAAGCTTGATCACTTGGCTTTTACATTGCTGTGAGCCTAAAATGCCTTTTCTGCCACCCAGCAAAGGGCACACCCAACAAATTCTTCTCAAAATATTCACACAAACAGTGTTTTGTAAGGTATCACATAAAAACTGCTGACATTCTGTTCATTGATGTCACTGTGTGATGTGTGTACACCTTGTATATAAAGAGCTATGTATGGGTTTTGGAAATGTGATCTTAAAATATGTTGTGAAGGCAGCTGATAAACAAGCCTGTCCTAGACAAAGGATCATGGATTTATCTGTCTGTTTAGATCAAGTGAACAGGAGAAGAGAAAATCACTTGAGCAGATTGAAAGCAAAATACAATAGACATACATTTGCATCTAAGGCAAACAAAGTGATCAAGCCAATCGAGAAAGAAAATTGACCACAGGATAAAGCAGGGGCTACACCCTAAAGAGCAAGCAGAAGGTTTTTGGTCCTTTCTGGACTAACTTTTCAAGGAATTCTTCTGGACTGTAAGGGAAAAAAGGGGATTCCTTTGTTATACATCACCAACAGGGACAACACTCTGGGAATCCGTGAAAGGTGGATCCCCCTACCATGTGGGTTGAGGATGCTGAGAACTGAGTGTAGGTGAATAAGTGCCTGAGACCAGGATAGTAATCTGTCCAATCTTACCCACTAGAAAGTATGTTGTATTTTGTTTTAGTCATAACCATTTTCTGTGTCTTCTCTCTCTGCTTAGTATCACTAACATCTTTATTAATAAACTTATTCCTGCATTTACAAGAAAGGCAAACTGTGGCCATTGGGACCTGCGAGTTAAATGACTCTTCTGGCATTTAATCCCAATGAACCACATGTGGCCCGTGGGCCGGAGGTACCCCACCCCTGATATAAATAAATAAAGAATAGCCAGCCAACAGGAAGAAGATATAGCTCTATATAAAGATGCAATCCTTCCTCCTACTGATAGGCATGTAGGAACTGGCAGATATAGCAGAACCAAAGTCGTTATTTATCAGGGAATAAGCACAACTGAGGTCAGGTCTATACTCCTTGAGTTCCCTGTGTTTCTCTCTTGCAGCATGGGGGTGGAGAGCAAGGGCAGGCTATAAGAGGAGTAAAAGCATGGCTAGTGCATCTGCAGTGATTCAGATCAACAGACCGAACCACTCACATAAACTGGAGGTGCGGCTTTTCCAGGGTCTTGGATTACAGTGATAGCTGGGGAGTAACATTAGGGATAAAACCGTCTTCTCCTGAAACCATCCCCTTTTCTGGCTTGATGCACATGAGATGATCTGGCCCAGAGTATTTTGAAGAAGTTACACACAGAATCTATATTTAGAATATGAACACCAGGAGACGTGAAATCACAACAGCAACAGCAGACACTTAACTGGCCTGACGGGTCTGTTAAAGATATATGTATGGGGAAATGGAGGGGAGTGACTAGAAAACACAGTCATCCAGTAATTCAGAAATAAAAAAAAATAAACCTAAGTACAGGTCGATGTGTGAGGTCCCACATCCTTGCCTAATGCTGAGGAGAGCATGGTACAAATCAGGGTGCCATGAAAAGGAAGAGAAAAACTCACTTTTGTATTACCCTAAACCTGGACCATATACCTAGGACTGGCCCCATAGTATAAATGGAGAATTTTCCTCAGCTTTGCTTTATGACCTCAGTTAACAGTGGTGTCGGAACAATGTTTAGGGTAGAGATTCTGAGCTGCAATCCTTCCAGCTTATCCCATCTTCATCCCGCATTGCCCCAACTGCGAGCCACAACCAGGGTGGCTGCAGCGCCCCAGGCACTGCGCCAATGAACATGGTCCAGGGGTCTGCAGAGGAGTTGCTAGGACTCCAGGCAGCAGCAGAGTCCCTGGTGGACAGGACCCTGGGCTGAAAACGGAGACCACTGGGCCAGTTGCCAGACCTCACATGCAGCAGGGTTGGTAGCCGGAACACGATGGAGTTGGTATCCAGGACTCTGGGCAGCAGCTGGGACCCTAGCCAAATCTGGGGGTGCTGTAGCACCTTCTGCACCTCTAATCTCCCACGCCTTTGCCAGTTAATAGCAAGAAAAGACCAATACCACAGATGGGGATCATTGTAGTCTATGGGCAGCTCAGACACACTCCCATTTTCTCCAGCTTTGCTTTATAAACTGGTCCCAGATAGAGGGGTAATGGAGAAGCCTCCATTCCATCTTTACTTACATGGGGCCATCCCTGCACTATGATGATGCTCCCAGAACTGAAAATCTGACTCTTTAGCCAGAATCTACTGGCTAAAGCTGATATACCTATCTGGAGAAAGGGGCCAATGGCATACAGTACATTAGCAAAGTTATAAAAAACCCAAAACAGGCAAGACACTGTCAAGAAAATCTTCTGAAAAGCATGGAACTCTTTTCCTAGAGATAGTTCTCACAACAATGAATGGAAAAATAGCATATTAGCTGTACAAGATTTGACAGAGAAATACCATTTTACAGAACACAGGAGAAACCATTTGAGTTTCACATAATGAGCCAAGTACCGATGTCCTTACTCAGTTTTTACTTGGATTTGGCCCAATGACATTACAGAAAACTGAACATGAATATAATCTCTTAGAAGACAAGGCAGAATGTTTTAAAATATTATTCCATTTTGGGGTGGTCTAATTTCCCTGTAGCTCTATTGCTACTCAACTCACCAAATTAGACAACAGGACCAATTCCATATGCCTAGACATTTCATTAAATGGCAGTACATCCATGATTTAGGCTTTCACATTGAATATGTTCAGAGCCCTTTTTATTAGTATTCCACTTGTACTACTTTAAAACAAAAGAAGGCTGTTATGATGAACCTCTTCTCTAGGACTTTGGAAATGAGACTTACTGAAATGCTAAATCTCCATAATGGCTCACAGTGGCACTGAAAAACCAATAGATTAGAGTGTTCTAGCTATTTTCTGCACAGGAAAACATACAAAGGAAACCCCACCAGGTTTATCATTGCTCTCAATCAAATAAAAGCCTGTAAGCTTTCTTTTGGAAAACTAAGTCTCTAGGATTCATGTATATTTTATCAAAGTTACATGTGGTTCTGATATTTGTTTCCGAAACATTTCAATCCCAAAGTGCACTGAAATACTGCCATACCTCTTTTTTAAAAATCAAAGATAAAATAAATAATAAACAAGATTACATGGATCCATAATATCTCTTCATACTGAATTGGGCTCAATAGGTTTTATCGACACAAGTAAGCAAGAGAAACCTAAACATATGTTTTAAAAATTTCCAATACTTTTAATTGTACACTGGAACAGTGGGAACTAACAGAAACACAGTGTCACATCTCTTAAAGGAAGTTCCTGCAATGATCTAAAGCCAGTTCTTTCCAGAAGTGCTTTTATAATTCCTGGCAGTCAACACAGGAGAGATTGTACCCCCAGTGGTAGCCAATTATTATCACAGTAGTTAATAACAGTTTCAAAAAAAAGTATTGTTTACCCATTCTGGGGGTGTTTTGATTTGTTTTGCTTTAACAACATGTGGCGGAGGAAAAAAAAAGTTGTAAGTCCTGCTTTCGGAATACTAAAGACTTTTTTTAGAAGTTGCATTTCATTGCTACCTTGATTTACTAGATATTTACTGATATATCAAGTATGTGGGAAAGAAGGCATGCTCCTGACAACCCTCTAACAAAGTATTTAGGGTGACGCTTTGTCAGAGAGTGTCAGCAGAGTTAAGGATATTACAAAGAATTCATCTAGTATTAATAAAGCTTTAGTACTTACAGCTGTCTTCTTCTTCGGTAATACATTTCACAACATAACAGGCATAGATGAACCCTCCCAGCTGAAACAAAATGTAACAGTATTAGTTATAATGCAAACACAATAATTGCTTTAAAAAACAAAAACCTTCCTAGGCTATGTGCTGCAGCATTGACTATTCTTTATGGGTATGTCTACACTACAGCACTAATTCGAACTAACTTAATTCGAATTAGTTAATTCGAACTAGTGCATCTAGACTTAAAAACTAATTAGCGTTTTCCTAATTCGAACTAGCATGTCCACATTGAGTGGATCCTGAACCGAAGTTAAGGCTGGCAGGGGCTGGCAGGGCATCAGGTTAGGACTTACATGGAGCTGCTGCCTCAGGCTAGCCGAGGGCTGTGCTTAAAGGGACCCAACTCCCACCCCGGACAGACAGTTCTCAGAGTTCCCCGCTTGCTTGTCTACCTCGATGAGGGACAGCAAAGCAGTCCAGTCTTGGAGTGCCCTGAGTACTCGCACTCGGCACATCACAGCACTCGGCCATCAGCCCGGCTGCACTTGCCTCTGGCTGCCATCTGGGGGGGGGGGGGGGGGGGGGGGCGGGGTTAATCAGGGGGCTGTCAGGATCCAGGAGACGCTGCAGGAGAGCTTCCACCCCGAGGAGCCTGCAGAGCCACCCCAGTCCTCTCCATCAGGGGCTCGCACCCCATTCCTCCCTCACCTCCTTCCACTTACCGCTCCCTAGATCCCCATTCTGATGTAAAAAATAAAGGATACATATGTTCAAAAATAGAAACTCTCTTTATTTAACAAAACTGGGTGGGGGGGGATTAACCTCTGGGGAGACTGGGAAAAGGAGATGGGACAGGGGAAGAGAGAGGGTGGGAGAGGGGTGGAGGAAACCTGGGAGGAGGGAGCTGGAAGGGGGAAGCCAGGGGAAGAAGGAGGAGGGGAGGTATCAAACTATGGTACGCCATATCTTCAGTACTGTGTACAGATGTGGTCTCCTCACCTCAAAAGAGATGTTTTGGCCTTGGAAAGGGTTCAGAAAAGGGCAACTAAAATGATTAGGGGTTTGGAACAGGTCCCATATGAAGAGAGGCTAAAAAGACTGGGACTTTTCAGCTTAGAAAAGAGGAGACTGAGGGGGGATATGATAGAGGTCTATAAAATCATGAGTGGTGTGGAGAGGGTGCATAAAGAAAAGTTCTTCATTAGTTCCCATAATATAAGGACTAGAGGACACCAAATGAAATGAACGGGTAGCAGGCTTCCAACTAATAAAAGAAAGTTCTTCTTCACAAAGCAAATAGTCAACCTGTGGAACTCCTTGCCACAGGAGGCTGTGAAGGCTAGAACTATAACAGAGTTTAAAGAGAAGTTAGATAAATTCATGGAGGCTGGGTCCATGGAGTGCTATTAGCCAGGGGGTAGGAATGGTGTCCCTGGCCTCTGTTTGTGGAAGGTGGAGAGGGATGGCACAAGACAAATGGCTTGGTCATTTTCTTCGGTCCATCCCCTCCAGGGTAGCTGGTGTTGGCCGCTGTCGGCAGTCAGGCTACTGGGCTAGATGGACCTTTGGTCTGACCCAGTATGGCCATTGTTCTTATGTTCTAAGCTCAGGGCTCAGGGTCGGGGAACTCACTGGACCAACTTGATTTTCATGCAAACCTGCTCCTGGGTTCGCATGTGGCCTTTGGTGGCCAGGCTGGCAGCTATCCTGCCCTAGACAGCCACTTTCCTGTGCCTAGTGCGGAGATTGTGGACATTGGAGGCCTCCCCCCAAACCTGGATGAGGTCCACGATCGCCACACTAGACCAGGCGGGCACCCGCCTCTTGCGGCCTCGGGCAGGCTCCTTTGTAGTGTAGACATACCCTATGATAGCTCTTCATGTCCTTTAGTGAGTGGATTTCTCTTATTTTCTGTGACTTTATTAGAACTAGTCAGTACATTATTTTTTTCGTCTGCAAACATTAAAAAAAAAAAAAGAAAAGAAAGCAAAAATTGTTTCAGTCAATTTTAGTCCCATAAAAATGTGTATTTTTTTGTTAAACTGAAATTGTTAAATTTGTTAAAACTGAATGTTTTTGTTTTTTGGCAACTGTTTTTATAAAAAATTCTGGTGGAAAGATTTCTTTTTGAATGAAGCCTTATTTTTTGTGGGGAGGGATGGCAATGAAACAAAGAAACAAACTTTTTAGTAAAAAAACTTCAGTTTGGTTTAGAATCTAGTTCAATGAATTTGAGAGTTGATATCTAAATGTTCCGTCACCCACCACATAGAAATGAGTGCTGTAGTTGAAGCTGTGGAATGGATTACCATGTCTGTATTGCTCTCTCAGACCCAAGAAATAGCTAGTCTTACATCTAAAGAAAGATTTATGGGTGTATTTATATCAGTTTCTCTTACAGAAATTGGCAAAAACAGATTTTGTTCCTTAGATTCCCCCTTGTAAGAATGGGAACAGAACTTAATAAATGGCAACAATATCATTCAAAGAACATACATATTTGATGCTAGAAGACCAGGGTCACAAGTGGATTACCACAGATAATAATTTCAAGGTTTTTTTGTCACATATGATAACTGGGAAGTTTTCCTTTACATAGTTTTAACAGACTGCTACATCTTTTAGCTTATCATTAAGATATACATAATGATGGTAGTGAAACAACTTAGTCTAAGTTCTTTATTTTTTTTGTAGTGAAAACCCTTTTGCATCATTGTCAGTTTTGAGATACTAGAGTCCAGATTTCTGATGCAAAAAGCTTAAAACAAACAAATAAGCAAGCAAACAAGCAACCAAACAATAACAAAACACCTTTTTTTTGGCCAAATCAAGTTTCTTTTCGGAGATCTCTTGCAACCAATGCAGATGCTGCATGGGGGCAGTTAGATCCCTATTGGGAGCAAAAACATCACTAGAGGCATATTTTTGTTACAACAGAGCTAAATGATCATTTCAGTTATTTATTTCATATAGTTCTGCTGGGAGGCTTTGACACCAGGGAGGCATGTGAAAATTCGCTGTTGGATACAAAGAACTATTGTACCAAGAACAGTGGCACCTTCTGTTAACAGGAGTGTTTCATCTCTACTTTATTGGTTCACTATTTTCCTTTGTATTTTGGCTTAAAGATAAGAGCACTAAATTACTCCATTGACAGGGAGCCATCTACACAGCTCTGTAACTCAAAATAAGATACGCAATTTGAGCTATGCAAATTGTGTTTCTTATTTCGATGCTATTTGAAATAGCTTATTTCATCATTTAGCACACAGTGCCACATTTTGAAATAAAGCGCTATTCCGAAACGTGTCTTACTCCTCATAGAATGAGGTTTACAGGGAGGTTGGAATAGAGAGCCCGAAATAACAGGCTTGCTGTGAAGATGCGGGATAGCTATTTCGGGATACTCCATTGCAGTGTAGATGCACCCACATAGTGCTGTGCAATACCCATTGCCTTAAATGATGTTATATGGAGTTTCATTGAGCAAGAATTAGGCCCATAAATGCTATTCATAAATGATTCCAACCCTTGAATGTAAGGCTCCGCTTAATAGTTTCTCTGTTCTGTTTTTACAGATCATCAGATCCAAGTTAGCTTAATAGTTACATCTCTGGTAGGCAATCACAGTGGTAAAGACATTTTGACAATAGTTTGGTATTTTACTTTCAAAAATGCCATGAGTTCATGTGTTATTAACTAACCTCCTCTCACAAAGTGAAGCAAACAAACCGTATCACAAATTGTACTTACCACTGATCTTTTAATTGCATTCAGTCGTATGTCTTAGATATCTGGGGAACTCCTTTGATATATAAGTAAATCCTACAGAATTTCATCAGATGAGCTTGCTGATTAAAACAGTGCCTTTAAGCTAGAAATTGTTCTGCTCTGAACACAAATGGAAGTTTGTTTCCCATGAGATAATCAGGGTTCGTAAAACAAACGTCTCCTTCTCTCACGTTCCTCCAGCCCTTTCTTGAGGCACGGATCAACCTTCATTTTAATTTTAACATCACAGCTGTTTTTCATAATGCATTGGTTCAGATGCAGCCCTGGACATTCCACTGCTATTCACAAAGGGAGACATATTCTATGAACAATAAAAAGTAGCCTTTATAGCTGAGCACCAATGGTTCACACAGCACAGATGGACTGCACTGAATAAATATCATTTAGCAAAGTAGCTTTTCATTATTTCACACAGTTATTGCATGATGTCTCTAAACAGGTGATCAGTTACCAGTGTCATATATCTGGGCACAAAGCCACTAGCCCTTAGGAAACTCCAAGTAGGACAGAACATTACAGCATACCTCCTCAGTAGCACAGGCTACCATGAACATCACTGTCAGCTCTGTCCTATGAGCTCTACACTGGCTTCTGTAGAATAGAGTCAAGTTCAAGGTACTGGTTCATATATGTAAGGTGCTAAATGGTCTGGGCCCAACATATCCAATGATCACCTACACTTCTGACAGTACACAACTGCACGTCTATTGTTGTACCATAACTTCTGTATTATCCACATCTAAAACCTTGAAGCACATTTCTGAAGGACAGCCTAGTGCACAAAAGCTAGTATGAACGAGGGATGTGGGTATTTACACACTACCAATGCTGCATAGCCCTCTACCCAATCTATAGTACAGTGTAAATGAGGGCAAGGGGCACACACACCAGGTCCTGAGACTGCTAATCATCCAGAGCTATTCCCACAATGCATTGAGCCCTTTTCTGCCTGGTCTTTGCCTAAAAATATAATGACCTCTGGCCTTGATCCTTTGCCAGTAGTAGTAGCAATCCGTACTGAATGCTTCAAAATAGTTTTCTGCTGACCTCCATTGACCTATACTGGCAATTACGGATCAAAGTCTGAGAGCAGTTCCCTGGTCTCTGTATAATACCCCCGACTTGATCAATGGAGGTCAAAGAAGATCATCCAACATTCTCCATGAACTTGCTCACATCTCCTGTACTAGGAGATTTTGCAGAGGTTTGAGGAGACAGGCATTCATCCCTCTGTCCAAGTGCCAGGAGCATTGGGTGCCTGTACCAGAGGG